TTCTAGCATTAAACTCCTAAGAACAAAAATATAAAAAAAAAATTAAAATAAATCATAAATCCAAACCTTTAACTAACCCTAACTTAACATCTAGCTAACTCTAACTTAACCTCAAACTATAACTTAATCTCAAACTAATACTAACTTAACCTCAAACTAACACTAACTTAACTTCTAATGCTAACTTAACATCTAACTAACCCTAACCTCTAACTGCCTCACAATTTTTACCTGAAAAGTAAAACATTTGGCCCATTATTCTTTAATAGGATATAGATTGTTTTTCAAATATAAGGATGCTTCAGTATATTTGGTACATAATGATTCAAATCATATTTCAAAAATTTCTTCAAATAATGTATTTTGGCAGGCTAAAAAATCAGCCTGAAATTCAAGGTATCGGGAGCCAAAAGAACGTGGTAATTGTTTTTTAATATTTTGAACAATATGGAAAACACAATGTAAATATTGTGTAGTTGGAAGAGTGGTTTTAATTGCAGGTCCTAATCTGATATCAGTCAGAAAAAATAGTTAATAAAGGTAAATTATCTGTCACTATCATAAGATTATTAAGGACCCAGTTGTATAATGAAGTCGTTTCATCAGACATCAATGCCTGTGCTAATAATCTTGAATGTTGGTGCTCATCAACTCCAACAAATAAACACAATACTAATCTATATTTATTTGTTCTTGCTGTATTGTCTGTTAAGATTATATCATTATACTTTAAGTAAAGATTTCGTTGAGAAGAAGTCATCTAAAATAAATGATAAAGGTGGTTTTTAATACAATAATCTGCTATAAACAATGTAGGATCATCTTCTTTTAATGTTCTTAATATCTTTAAAAGGTTAGATGCATTATTTTCAGAATCTTGTTCTGGATCCGTTATGTCACCCTTTCAAAATTGTTGAATCACATTGGTTAAATCTTTGTCTAAAAACAATTAATCCTTAAATTCACCTTCTAAAAGTTGTCTTAATGTATGCTGACTAATGCCAGGAACTGTATTTACATAAAATTCAACCTTATCAATTATATTTTGAGGAAGCTGCTGATATGTATTAATAAAGTATGCACTATTAGGACAAGGTGTATGACCATAGTGAATAAAATTTAATTTAGTAATTGATGGATCTGGTGAACTTAATGGCCAACAAATATTAATAAAGCATGTGCAATTCATCTTTATAGACTTTTGATTGTGCTGTTGTAAGGGTTCAATTGCCTTTTTTTAGTTTGAAGGCTTCCTGCATGCCGACATTCAAATACATATTTATAAACTCCTTCATTTTTGTCAAGCTTTCTATTCTGGATTCGTCATGCAAAATCTGTCTTTCGTCTGTATGCTAATAAGACTAAATTTACATGTTTCCAGTGGTTAAATTGTAACCCAACATATAAGTTTAATGCTTGTTCAAAAGCAGTACTAGGTATTGATAATGTTTCATATGAATGCCTTTTGGATATTCCATTATAGGTAATTGAAATGGCAGGCATTTATTAAGAAAAAAGATCACCAGGAGTTTCTATACTAGCAACCTCATTAACTTCATTTTGGCTTGACTAAAAGCTTGGTAAGTATAAGCTATATAAAATAATAAACACTATAGCGAAAATTATTGATATATACTTGCTGGAAAAAAAGGTCACTTGAAGCCTTTTCTTGACTATCAATTTCAATATAATTTTCATCAACATCGCTTTGGCTCATCTAAAAGGTTTAGGTAAGTATAAAATGCACATAATATAATTACATGACACTTACTGTCAACAATGTCTGATGGTAGGCAACGTTTGGTAGTGGGCAGTGTTTAGTGGTGAGCAATGTCTAGTGGTGGGCAATCTCAATGTTTTGTAGTAGGCAATGGCAATGTTCTTTGGCTGTGAACTTCTTGCGTGGGCAACTTATAGTGGGTAACTTTGTGTGCTTATTACTCTTGTAATGTATTAGTTTGATTAAAAGAGAGAAAACAAAAGCTTTAATTAAAACAAATGTAAAAGCGACAAAGTTTACAATAACCAATAGTACAATAGAAAAAAAGTGATAATAATAATTTGTAGTAAAAGTTACGTGAATACACAGTAGGATGACATATCACAAGATCAGCCTGGATGATTTATATATTAATTTAAAAAATAAAGTATTTGTATTAAATAAAGATATATAAACTAAAAAAAAAATTCAAAAAAAAATTTTAGAAAAGCAAAATTGATGATCATTAATCTTAAATTTGATTAGTTGATCATTTAAGATTATCATGAAGATGGATTATCAATACATTTTTATCTTAATTTTAAACTTATAGTTTTTAATACAACTTTTTAGTTTATATTAAAGATTATATTTTTAATTATTACAAGTCTAATAATTTATATATAATAATTAATACTTGTCTTAAGAGCTAAAATTTTTTTTTAGTTTTAAAAATATATAAAATTTTAAAAAATCTAAATAATAACCTATAATGTTATACAATTTTTAAACTTTAATTAATTAAAAGTTTTTTAATAAAATTAAAAAAGTTTCTTAACTAAGTTTATAAAATAGAATTTTAAAAATATTTTTTATTTAGAAAGTATATTACTAAGAATTTTATATTTTATCACATATATGATTATCACATATATGATATAATACATTCTTGTTGTAGTGACATAATGACATACAAACAATAAAGTAATTAATCAGAAAGTGATTTTAACTTGTGGTGTAGGGATTAATGATGCATGGGCCTAATCGATAATATAAATAAAGTAATTATTAAATAATTCAAACTTTTTTAGCTTTCTAATTTCATTTGATGGATGTATTATAGAAGCTTAATTTGAAGTGTAAAAATAACACATTATCTATTCGACTGCTATTTATCCAAATATTCAAAACTCTTTTTAAAAGTGTCTTAAAAAAAATAAGAACAAGAAGTAAAACTTTTTTTTAAAGTATCTCAAAAAAGATTAGAATAAGAGATAGGTTTGTTATGTTTGATCACATTTGGTCACATGTGGTCTCACAAATATGATTTAGTAAAGCTAATAAATGGATAACAAATTAGATAATAAAACTTATACCTGCAAATATGAGTGATACTAAAAGTATAGAGATTATTAGCCTTTTTAATAACAATACAAATAATGCTAAAGATATAAAAAACATGAATTACCTTGCTGATATTATTGAAAAAAACATGGATACTAGTTCTTTTCAAGTAACTTCAATTATTAGCAATGCTGAAAATAATGTGTCAAGATTATTTATTGGAAAAAAAACTATCAAGTTGGGCATCATGTAATTCATATATTGTCGAATAGAGTAAAAGTAAGAGATTTAATGTAGTCAAAAGTCATGTTAGCCATGAAAATGATATTATCAGAAGAAGGACCTATGTTTGTAAACATAGTTGGCATTATGAAACCAACTTTAATAAAAAAATAGGCACCAAAAAAATTTTATGCTTATGACATATAAATGCCTCTTATCCCAAATCAAGAAATTCAGATTCTGCTATTTTTATTAATATGTTTGTTAATAAATACAATTATGAGTTAAATGTTAATATTATCATTTTTGAATATAAAAAAAAGTTCAGTAAGGAAATGTTGAATGATATAGAGTTTCTAACTAAATACTATAAAATAGATGCAACAATACAAAGGTGATATTTGAAAAATAAATATTCTTCTAAACCTATTTATAGTAAAGATCTATATAACACTATCAGCAAATCTTGATCTAGTGTTACATCTTTCTTGAATGATGCTGCACAAACATCCAATTGGCTTGATACTCAAAAAGAAAAAGACCCAAGATGGGTTGTGGCAAGAGATTGGGATAAAGATAACACACTTACTTACTTAATGTGAATAACACCAAGTCAAGTCAAAAACTGGATACAATTTAGTGATTGTGTTATTAATAATGTTACACATAAAATAAATAGATATGAAATGCTCTTATTACTCTTTGTAGAATTTGACTGAGATAGACAAAATATTCTTCTTGCTTAAGAATTAATTGCAAATGAAAGTCAACAGTCCCATGTTTGATTTTTTAAGCAGATTTTTAATGCTACTAAAATACAACCAACAGTAATTATAACTGATTCAGATTCTACTGTCAATGTTGCAGTAAAAGAAGTATTCACAACAATCTACCTAATACATTGTGCATTCTATATTTCACAAAATCTTTATAAGAACCTTCAAAGCTTAGTTGGAAACCAATATAATAATTTTTTTAAAAACTTCTACAAATGTAGAAATAGCTTAGTTTAGGTTACATTTCATGAATGATTTATTAAGTTAATTGATGATTATCCAAAAAGCAAATCTTATTTGAATAGTCTATATAAGACAAAAGAATATTGGGCTCATTCATACATTTGTTTTAAATTTACTGAAGGTATGATTGCTATATCGAGAGTCGAAAGCATGAATGCATGTCTCAAAAGATTTTTATATAATTCTAATATTTCACTTAGTGAACTTATGTATGAAATATATAAGCTACTTGATCAACAGGATAAGCAAAATCAATACTGATATTGGAAACTTGCAATTCCAACAGTTAAAAATATTGAACAAGCAAACTTTCTATTCACAGAAGTTGACAGGTGTTGTCAAAAATTCTTAATACCAACAATTTCAAAGATGCAGCATAATGAGATTAATCAGTCTCTTTATTATAATGCTATTTTATTTACTCAAGACATTTTTATATTTAATAATGAAATTAAAATTACTATGTCAGATGCTAAAGATAATTATGCTGATAATCCTAAAGCTACTATACATCAGTTATTAAAGATAGCAATATTAGTGAAATATAGAAAATCAAGATTGAAAATTCTTTAAATGCAAAGCATAATATTATTATATTAAAAAATAGTAGTTATTTTTGTTTATGTTTCACAATTGTTCAACAAGGTATCATCTGTCAACACTATTTCCAAGTTATATTAAACAACAGTAAAGCCAAATTTCATATTAGAATAATCCTGTCTCACTGGTATCAAAAAGATAAAGAAGCATTATATGAACTATTTATCATTGCTGACAAATATTTGAATGAAAAATCTATTGTTCTGCAAAAAAATAATAGACTAATTACTTATTTATATGCTATTGACAAAGAAAAGATTAATTTTGCTAAGAAACAAATAAATATTCTTGAACAAAGGACAATATATGGAACTCTTTACAGAGTTTATAAAAAGGCTTTAAAAAAAGCTTTACAGACTAAATCAAGGTCAAAGTGTTTTTTTTTAAATATTAATGATAAGACCATGCCTTTAACTTTATTGAAATTCAATTGAAGTTTTTACAAAGAAAAGC